AGACACGGGAATGTCGTCCGAAACATCTGGAATACCGGTTCTTCTCTTGAGATGGTCCATTCTTGGAGTGACGGTCGGCTGGTGCAAGATTTCTTCCACTTTAAACCATTGCGCAAACGGACTCGGTACAACGTGGGGGGACTCGGGGAGGTCCCACGACCCTCCATATACTTGAAGCCTGCCCATTATGGCGATTCTAAAATTTCAAACAAAAAGATATCAACGACATACAAACATGACATGTTGTATATTTGTATAGTTACCTGAAGGCTATCCGTCTTAACGGCACATCGTCCCAATATGGGCCGATGACTGTCTTCATGGCGACCATTGGAACCAACGAAATGGATCGTCGGGAATGTGATCCGTAGATCCGTCCAATGGCCGCTAGGCTTTTTGTAACCGGGGTTCGCAACAAGGACGCGTGTTTCAACGCGATGTGCCTAGTCATCTTGTTGTCTTGGGTCTTATATTTGCATATTGGACAGTACTTTAGAAGCTAATGGAAACGAATATTTGTTAATTAAGGTTCTTTTAATTGGATTATTTTATTGTGTACAAATTACTTACGCGATTAGTAATCAGAGAGTCGACACGGTGATCGAAGTTCGAATCAATTTTAACTGGACGATCTTCTGAGTTCCAATCATCTACGTTTAATGGGCTGGGTGCTAGGGGAATTTAAAATTATAATTAAACGAAATGCGTCTTACACGAGGTCTTAAGAATACTCACTGTCGACGATCGACGATTCATTTTCAGAGGCAACCATCAGAGCTGAAACGAGAAGCAGACAAACAGTGATGGAATTTTAACTATAAAATTAAAAATACCTTCTCCGGAATCGCATTGAACGCTTTTAAAAGTTATCAGCGGGGACTGTCTGGTATTTCGAAGTTCGGCCGGCGGATATCCACATGAACCTGAGGGGCCCGCTTTTGGGGACTCCGGGGACTCACGGTCGACGTCGGCGATTGGTTTTTTTGGCTTATATTCTCCAATTTCCGATACTGCAAAATTGTTGCAAATGTGTTAAAAATTATTCTGTTGAAATATTTGAAAACTTACGTTCTTCCTCGAAGAAATCGTATGGATGTGATGGCGTTGTTGATGGTGATGGGGTGTAAATATTAAGCCTATTTAGATCAGCGATTTCAAAACCTGGGGAAAATAAAGTATGTTTCAAATTAATAAGACATTATTTTAACTGGGATAGTAAAACTTACCATCATCGTCAGTAAATGGAGAGTCAATTGCTGGAACCACTGAGCCATCCTCACTAAAACGGACGTGGCTGTTTCTCTTCACGACAACCACTCGGTCTCCCTGGATTTCCTCGTGCGCAGGGTCTTCAGTTAAATCTAACCGCTTCATAACATCTGTAGAATATTTGAAAATTCTTAAGGTTTAATAAAGTTATGTACATTAATCAGCAAAAAAAAAAATGAAATCAGAAAACTATTTTACATTTAACTGGCTTCGGGTAGTACGCCATACGGCTGTGTACTTCAAACACTTTTTTCACTTCCTCGATTTTATCCCCTTTAAACTTTACGATACCTAAGTAGATGAAGATCACAATGAAAATTGAAATAATATATATTTATGACTTTTATATAGAATTGACTTTACGTTTTATGGCTGTCTTCGGTCGTTGAGGCGCTTGCTCCTCAACGGCGGACGCTTGCTCTTCAACGGCGGGCGCTTGCTGAGTAATAGCGTGCGCTTGCTCCTCAACGGCAGGCGCTTGCTGAGTAATAGCGGGCGCTTGCTCCTCAACAGCGGGCGCTTGCTGAGTAATAGCGGGCGCTTGTTCCTCAACGGCGGGCGCTTGCTCCTCAACGGCGGGCGCTTGCTCTTCAACGGCGGGCGCTTGCTGAGTAATAGCGTGCGCTTGCTGAGTAATAGCGTGCGCTTGCTCCTCAACGGCGGGCGCTTGCTGAGTAATAGCGGGCGCTTGCTCCTCAACAGCGGGCGCTTGCTGAGTAATAGCAGGCGCTTTTGACATTTTCTTAAATGCAACACTTAATGTCGTTTTTTTGACATTCTTGATGCGGCTTGCCAAATTTATTGGCATCCCTTGTTGCACAAGCAAGATGGCCTCCTTTAGAGCAATATTCTCACTTGTTTTATTGTAAGACCGTTTTGCCTACATGAATTGAAAAAAAATAATATTCGCAAGGCATTCAAACTTAATGAAAATATAAATTTATAAGCCTACAGTTTTTACACATATGTTTCGTTTCTTGGCATACTCCCGGAGTGTTGTCTCCGGGACCATATAGTGACGGGCAGCCTGGCTAATGGACATCGTCCCGAACTTCAGCTCACTTAAAGCATTCTCCATCACGCTGATTAAAAAAAAAAAAAACCTTTGTACAAAACCTGTAAAAAAAGATCTCAAACTACTTAAAATAAAGGAGCAGTAATAAATGTCAGTCATGTCTAAACCTGTGAAAATAAATTGACACATTCATACCGACACCTAGCGCTGCGATCGACGACGGCGGTTCTGGTAGCAAAATTCTCGAATATCGATAGAGACCTCCAAACGTTTGGAAAATATAATTTAAAAAAAAAATAATAATTTGGCACCGGCTACACGCGCCCGCGAGCGCTTAAGAAAAAAAATCGTTTGTCTGTAAAGTCGGTTTACTGACGATATTTGAACGTGATAACGTGTTAAGAAAATACTGATGGTAGCATTTTTCAAAAGTAAATTTTAATTTCATTTGCTTAATAGATTTGTATGTATTTAGAGAAGGAGGTAAATGGAAATCACAATGGCACCACCGATACGAAACGTTACGAAAAATTGGTCCGGGGTCTCTATGTTGAGTACCGGCTTCGTCAAAAAATTCGTGAATGTGCCCTCTGGTGGCCGATGGAAAAACTTTTTCGAAATTCGTTCGCGACACTAGCGCTACAACGACGACGGCGGTTCGGGTAGCAACATTTTCGAATGTTGATAGAGAACTCCAAACGTTTGGAAAAAATAATTTAAAAAAAATATAATAAATTGGCACCGGATACACGCGCCCGCGAGCGCTTATGAAGAAAAAATTCGTGAATGTGCCCTCTGGTGGCCGATGGAAAAACTTTTTCGAAATTCGTTCGCGACACTAGCGCTACAACGACGACGGCGGTTCGGGTAGCAACATTTTCGAATGTTGATAGAGAACTCCAAACGTTTGGAAAATATAATTTAAAAAAAATATAATAAATTGGCACCGGATACACGCGCCCGCGAGCGCTTAAGAAAAAAAAAATTCGTGAAATTAAGAAATTTGAGAAATATAAAATGGAATGGCCCTTCGGTGGCACAAGACCCAGCCGCGTGAACCCATCAGGTCACTTGCCTCGTGGTCTACACTAATCGCATTGATTTAATCCACGCTATCACGGATACCCCGTTCAGAGTAATCCGCTACATGCGAGCGATCAACGTTGAAAGGAAAAAAAACTATTCAATTATAGTTTAAGAGGCAGTTAAATTTACTTGAAATATTTTTGAATACAAAAGTAATGAAAACTTAACCTAACTAATAAAAGCAGTAAAAAAATTGCAATCACGCTGAGTGAAGACTTCCGACCGAAACAAGCCAACTTTCGTCGTACAGATTTCATCCACGCGATCACAGATACCTCATTATTCACTGTCGGTAGTTACTAAAGTTATTTTTTTTTTTACTATCGGAAAACTCGACGAACAGTCTGACAAACGGTACAATGCCGGAATTACTCCAACTATTGCCCCATGGAATGCGACGAGTGAGAAGGCCGACGCAATGCCGGAATTACTCCAACTATTACACCATTGGTCGCCTCACAAACCGTTCGCCGAGTTAGCCTCAAGCCATGAAAATATTTTTCTCCTAGCCGCGTAAGTCTGCCCGGGTGGGTCTTACTACGACGTCGGAAAAAATTTTGAAAATAAAAATGTCGACAATATAATGAGATATCCGCTACCTGCGAACGACGTACTCGTTGGAGTCCTTCAGTCGGCACGTTATAATACTCACGCAAGAAAACGGTGTGTGTAGACACAGGAAACAAATTAATGAACGTTAAAATCAAAAACAAAGACACACTAGAACAAACTAGAACAACTGAAAGGCAAATGACGGCGCTCCGCTGCGGCGCACTCATATTTATAGACAGAGGCCACGCCACTAGCGCCGCGACACTAGCGCTGAACACTACGGATGTTACGTAACAGCGATACGAAACGTTCCGTATCGGAGATGCGTAACGTTTCGTAACGTTTCGTAACGTTTCGTATCGGAGATGCGTAACGTTGCGTATCGGAGGTGCGTAACGTTGCGTATCAGATGTGCGTAACTTTTCGTAACGTTTCGTATCGCTATTAAGGAACATCAGAAGTCTTCTGCATAAGTACCACTGAGCTACCCGTATCGTTGCCGGTTTATCCAGTCTCTTCGTGATACAAAGTGAGTACTTTTTTTCGTTCTATCTCGTATCGTACGCATGTAACGGCAGTGACCACACTAGTGCCACTTGTGAAGAGAGTAAGTAAACCATAACAGCCCACCGGTTATCCATCTCCGGCTAGCCCTCACTATTGACGTCCCAAATACAAACGAGGATGGTTAATTTTAGGACGCCTTCACCGGAGGCTAGATTGTAGACGAGGGAGCGGTCTCCGAATCCAGTACGTACTTTCTAACGAAAAATAATAAAACATCATTTAATAATTTGAAATGTTTAAATAATACAGGGCAACTGCAGGTCTCGGGCCTATGTCATAAATTTTATCTTTTGTTAGGACAGTTAATATGGCAAAAAAAAAATAAGTAGATGCTGGTGAAGTGGATTAGGCCTCATGGGGAAACCACATTAAAAAAAACGCACCATGTGCTGTACCTCCGGGGTGGTGTGGAAAACAGCACCATCAACGCATCGAACATTTATAAACAGGTGATTGTTTTACGCCGCTAACCGAAGTAGTAGCGCAGTGGTATTTATGCAGAACAAAACAGATGTTACGTAATAGCGATGCGAAACGTTACGCACTTCCGATGCGAAACGTTACGCACCTCCGATACGCAACGTTACGAACCTCCGATACGCACCTCCACTACGAAACGTTACAAACCACCGATACGAAACGTTACGAACCTCCGATACGCACCTCCGCTACAAAACGTTACGCACCACCGATACGAAACGTTACGAACCTCCGATACGAAACGTTACGCATCACCGATACGAAACGTTACGCACCACCGATACTAGACGTTAGGAAACGTTACGAAACGTTACGAACCTCCGATACGCACCTCCGCTACGAAACGTTACAAACCACCGATACGAAACGTTACGAACCTCCGAAACGAAACGTTACGCACCACCAATACTAGACGTTAGGAAACGTTACGGTTACGGTTACGAGGAAACGGAACGTTTCGTATCGCTGTTACGTAACATCCGTAGTGTTCAGCGCTAGTGTCGCGGCGCTAGTGGCGTGGCCTCTGTCTATAAATATGAGTGCGCCGCAGCGGAGCGCCGTCATTTGCCTTTCAGTTGTTCTAGTTTGTTCTAGTGTGTCTTTGTTTTTGATTTTAACGTTCATTAATTTGTTTCCTGTGTCTACACACACCGTTTTCTTGCGTGAGTATTATAACGTGCCGACTGAAGGACTCCAACGAGTACGTCGTTCGCAGGTAGCGGATATCTCATTATATTGTCGACATTTTTATTTTCAAAATTTTTTCCGACGTCGTAGTAAGACCCACCCGGGCAGACTTACGCGGCTAGGAGAAAAATATTTTCATGGCTTGAGGCTAACTCGGCGAACGGTTTGTGAGGCGACCAATGGTGTAATAGTTGGAGTAATTCCGGCATTGCGTCGGCCTTCTCACTCGTCGCATTCCATGGGGCAATAGTTGGAGTAATTCCGGCATTGTACCGTTTGTCAGACTGTTCGTCGAGTTTTCCGATAGTAAAAAAAAAAATAACTTTAGTAACTACCGACAGTGAATAATGAGGTATCTGTGATCGCGTGGATGAAATCTGTACGACGAAAGTTGGCTTGTTTCGGTCGGAAGTCTTCACTCAGCGTGATTGCAATTTTTTTACTGCTTTTATTAGTTAGGTTAAGTTTTCATTACTTTTGTATTCAAAAATATTTCAAGTAAATTTAACTGCCTCTTAAACTATAATTGAATAGTTTTTTTTCCTTTCAACGTTGATCGCTCGCATGTAGCGGATTACTCTGAACGGGGTATCCGTGATAGCGTGGATTAAATCAATGCGATTAGTGTAGACCACGAGGCAAGTGACCTGATGGGTTCACGCGGCTGGGTCTTGTGCCACCGAAGGGCCATTCCATTTTATATTTCTCAAATTTCTTAATTTCACGAATTTTTTTTTTCTTAAGCGCTCGCGGGCGCGTGTATCCGGTGCCAATTTATTATATTTTTTTTAAATTATATTTTCCAAACGTTTGGAGTTCTCTATCAACATTCGAAAATGTTGCTACCCGAACCGCCGTCGTCGTTGTAGCGCTAGTGTCGCGAACGAATTTCGAAAAAGTTTTTCCATCGGCCACCAGAGGGCACATTCACGAATTTTTTCTTCATAAGCGCTCGCGGGCGCGTGTATCCGGTGCCAATTTATTATATTTTTTTTAAATTATTTTTTCCAAACGTTTGGAGTTCTCTATCAACATTCGAAAATGTTGCTACCCGAACCGCCGTCGTCGTTGTAGCGCTAGTGTCGCGAACGAATTTCGAAAAAGTTTTTCCATCGGCCACCAGAGGGCACATTCACGAATTTTTTGACGAAGCCGGTACTCAACATAGAGACCCCGGACCAATTTTTCGTAACGTTTCGTATCGGTGGTGCCATTGTGATTTCCATTTACCTCCTTCTCTAAATACATACAAATCTATTAAGCAAATGAAATTAAAATTTACTTTTGAAAAATGCTACCATCAGTATTTTCTTAACACGTTATCACGTTCAAATATCGTCAGTAAACCGACTTTACAGACAAACGATTTTTTTTCTTAAGCGCTCGCGGGCGCGTGTAGCCGGTGCCAAATTATTATTTTTTTTTTAAATTATATTTTCCAAACGTTTGGAGGTCTCTATCGATATTCGAGAATTTTGCTACCAGAACCGCCGTCGTCGATCGCAGCGCTAGGTGTCGGTATGAATGTGTCAATTTATTTTCACAGGTTTAGACATGACTGACATTTATTACTGCTCCTTTATTTTAAGTAGTTTGAGATCTTTTTTTACAGGTTTTGTACAAAGGTTTTTTTTTTTTTTAATCAGCGTGATGGAGAATGCTTTAAGTGAGCTGAAGTTCGGGACGATGTCCATTAGCCAGGCTGCCCGTCACTATATGGTCCCGGAGACAACACTCCGGGAGTATGCCAAGAAACGAAACATATGTGTAAAAACTGTAGGCTTATAAATTTATATTTTCATTAAGTTTGAATGCCTTGCGAATATTATTTTTTTTCAATTCATGTAGGCAAAACGGTCTTACAATAAAACAAGTGAGAATATTGCTCTAAAGGAGGCCATCTTGCTTGTGCAACAAGGGATGCCAATAAATTTGGCAAGCCGCATCAAGAATGTCAAAAAAACGACATTAAGTGTTGCATTTAAGAAAATGTCAAAAGCGCCTGCTATTACTCAGCAAGCGCCCGCTGTTGAGGAGCAAGCGCCCGCTATTACTCAGCAAGCGCCCGCCGTTGAGGAGCAAGCGCACGCTATTACTCAGCAAGCGCACGCTATTACTCAGCAAGCGCCCGCCGTTGAAGAGCAAGCGCCCGCCGTTGAGGAGCAAGCGCCCGCCGTTGAGGAACAAGCGCCCGCTATTACTCAGCAAGCGCCCGCTGTTGAGGAGCAAGCGCCCGCTATTACTCAGCAAGCGCCTGCCGTTGAGGAGCAAGCGCACGCTATTACTCAGCAAGCGCCCGCCGTTGAAGAGCAAGCGTCCGCCGTTGAGGAGCAAGCGCCTCAACGACCGAAGACAGCCATAAAACGTAAAGTCAATTCTATATAAAAGTCATAAATATATATTATTTCAATTTTCATTGTGATCTTCATCTACTTAGGTATCGTAAAGTTTAAAGGGGATAAAATCGAGGAAGTGAAAAAAGTGTTTGAAGTACACAGCCGTATGGCGTACTACCCGAAGCCAGTTAAATGTAAAATAGTTTTCTGATTTCATTTTTTTTTTTGCTGATTAATGTACATAACTTTATTAAACCTTAAGAATTTTCAAATATTCTACAGATGTTATGAAGCGGTTAGATTTAACTGAAGACCCTGCGCACGAGGAAATCCAGGGAGACCGAGTGGTTGTCGTGAAGAGAAACAGCCACGTCCGTTTTAGTGAGGATGGCTCAGTGGTTCCAGCAATTGACTCTCCATTTACTGACGATGATGGTAAGTTTTACTATCCCAGTTAAAATAATGTCTTATTAATTTGAAACATACTTTATTTTCCCCAGGTTTTGAAATCGCTGATCTAAATAGGCTTAATATTTACACCCCATCACCATCAACAACGCCATCACATCCATACGATTTCTTCGAGGAAGAACGTAAGTTTTCAAATATTTCAACAGAATAATTTTTAACACATTTGCAACAATTTTGCAGTATCGGAAATTGGAGAATATAAGCCAAAAAAACCAATCGCCGACGTCGACCGTGAGTCCCCGGAGTCCCCAAAAGCGGGCCCCTCAGGTTCATGTGGATATCCGCCGGCCGAACTTCGAAATACCAGACAGTCCCCGCTGATAACTTTTAAAAGCGTTCAATGCGATTCCGGAGAAGGTATTTTTAATTTTATAGTTAAAATTCCATCACTGTTTGTCTGCTTCTCGTTTCAGCTCTGATGGTTGCCTCTGAAAATGAATCGTCGATCGTCGACAGTGAGTATTCTTAAGACCTCGTGTAAGACGCATTTCGTTTAATTATAATTTTAAATTCCCCTAGCACCCAGCCCATTAAACGTAGATGATTGGAACTCAGAAGATCGTCCAGTTAAAATTGATTCGAACTTCGATCACCGTGTCGACTCTCTGATTACTAATCGCGTAAGTAATTTGTACACAATAAAATAATCCAATTAAAAGAACCTTAATTAACAAATATTCGTTTCCATTAGCTTCTAAAGTACTGTCCAATATGCAAATATAAGACCCAAGACAACAAGATGACTAGGCACATCGCGTTGAAACACGCGTCCTTGTTGCGAACCCCGGTTACAAAAAGCCTAGCGGCCATTGGACGGATCTACGGATCACATTCCCGACGATCCATTTCGTTGGTTCCAATGGTCGCCATGAAGACAGTCATCGGCCCATATTGGGACGATGTGCCGTTAAGACGGATAGCCTTCAGGTAACTATACAAATATACAACATGTCATGTTTGTATGTCGTTGATATCTTTTTGTTTGAAATTTTAGAATCGCCATAATGGGCAGGCTTCAAGTATATGGAGGGTCGTGGGACCTCCCCGAGTCCCCCCACGTTGTACCGAGTCCGTTTGCGCAATGGTTTAAAGTGGAAGAAATCTTGCACCAGCCGACCGTCACTCCAAGAATGGACCATCTCAAGAGAAGAACCGGTATTCCAGATGTTTCGGACGACATTCCCGTGTCTCCGTGAGTATTTTTTCAAATAAAAATAAACCCTGCCTGATTTAGTTTTATTAATCGTCGTGCTTTAGTTCTAGTCAGAAGTTTAGGAAGACACTTCAGGAAAGCGGCTACCAAGAGCAGCTTCCTACCGACCATCCGCTATTAAAGTTGTATCGGCGATCGCTGAGCCTGAGCCACGGGGACGAGTCGTCTGCGGCGAAAAACTATACCGCGAATGTGGCAAAAATGTTGTACTTCGTCGACGCGTGGTTGAAGGACCGGAAAACGCCGGCCAAGCACTGGTCGCAGTTGTTGGGCACCAGCGAAGAGCCCTTCCACGAATACCTCAGCAAGTGAGTTCAGATTCCATCGAATCAATTACAATCTTATATTTATAAATTTTTTTATATTTACAGGAGAGAAGAACTCGGGCAAACAATTGCTACGTCAATCAACTACCTCAAAAACCTGAACGCGTTGTACGAGCTGGCCCTGTCGTGCTATTGCCTCGAAGACCCCTCGTTCCCGCAATCATTCGATTCGACTCCATGCCCTTCCCGGATCAACGACATAAAAGTCGTTAAACAAAAGCTTAAACTCATTTACAAAAACAAGATTAAGAACCAGCCGCAAGAGCTTTTCAACAGAAAAACGGAGGAAGCCAGGACGGTCCCGGAGTACCTCGAGGTCTACAAAATAATAAAGCGTATCTCCGAAAGCATACCGAAAACATTGACACAGCTAGAGGAACATGTCGGGGAGGAAGGTCCGGTAGACGTATCGACGTACAGGGACTCGGCGCCGATACAGAAACACGTAAGTAAGCTATAAATTTGGACTCGACATAAAATGTAATTTCATCATTCAATTTCACAGCTGAGCACATTGTGGAGAAGCGTCTCTTGCGGCTTGGCTCTTACGTGCCTATGGATTTCAAAACACCGGTCTGGTGTCGTCACGAACTGCACGGTAGCCGAATTCGAAAACCGTAAAAAGGAAGGGTCTAAAATTATAATTACGGTGTCGAAACACAAGACCGGGGACAAGGAGCCGGCCATGATGGTCTTTGACCAGGACGATACGGCGGCCCACCTGGAGAGGTAAATATTTACAAAAATCTATCACTCCATAAACTCAACAACTAACCATTGAATTTTTTTTAAAGATACTATAAGCTGCGCACGCGGGTGAGGACGTCGGTGAAAGAGCTCTTCATCACAAGCCGCGGGAAAAGACTCACCAAATTGTATGAAGAGATAAACAGGATCTACAAATGCCAACTGTCGGCCAACATCTTCCGACGAATGGTTGAAACGCAATCCAGGGCCCTCGGCAAAGAGACTATGAGTGGCATAGCGACGGCCCTGCAACACTCGGAAAGCACAGCGTTGAGGTATTACCAGCTGCCAGATTCGAACGAGGCACTGAGGCGGCAAACGACCATAGACACGGTTGACGCGACAGCCGTGTTCGAGAGTCTGGTCGAGGACGAGTAAGGAACCAAAAAGTTTTTACTGAAGACACACAAAATAACTAACAAATAATTTTTTTGTTTCAGATTTCCGGAAGTATTTAATCCGTCACCATACATTGACGTGAGCAACGGGGACACGGTCAGGAAGAACCTGGAAAAAACAGAGGCCTTCCGAAGCAACCCGTTGGCCAGCGTATCTGACCAAATTATCATTCGGTATCAACTTTGGTTCACCGAATATATGATGGATGAACGTGTTGACGTGACCGTCGGTCTGCTTAAAGGCAAATCCATGCGAGACGTGACGAAAGTGTTGAAGTCAGAAGGGCTGAGCTTTTTTTTGAGGATGAACTCTAAAGAGTTTTTGACGAAAGTCGAAAAAAAGCTGAGCCGTAGTCCTCCAGCACAATAAAGAAAAACGACGTGGGAACTTCAGTGGAGACAACCACATTAAAAAACATGATGACGTTGGGACGTCAGTGGAGACAACCACATTAAAAAACCTGATGACGTTGGGACGTCAGTGGAGACAACCACAATAAAAAACAGTGGACAGGCCTAATGGGGAAACCACTTAAAAAAAAACGCGCTATAGCTGATACCCCTTGGGTAGTGTGGAAATTCAGCTACTATTGCGGCTGACACTTAAACAATATGTTGGTTTGAAATGCGGAGCCGAAAAAGTTGTGGTATGGCAGCGCAGTATCGACAAGAAAAGGCGTCCTCCGGTGTCGACGAACTTCCGAAAACAATCTTCGCCCAGAGACGGCGTGGAGAAAAACTAAATACCTCCCTTGCCGGTTATCGATCGCCCCATGCGGTCCGAAGATTGATCGTTTCCGAACTTTTTTCAACCTAGATTTTTTCAACCTCGTTTAATATTCGTCCTAGCCGTTTCCGAACTCAGTCCGTTTACGTTTTATTTTCGTTTTTAATCAGATTTGATAGTTTCAAAGCCGTCGGTCGAAAGGTCGAAAAGTTGACTACCGATAAACATCGATAATCCGGGGTTGACGTCGGGTGGTCCTCGTCCGCCGGAATCCGTCTTCAGATATCCGGATATCGATTGTTGAGAAAAAATATCACGGACCGCGGTGACGACTCCCAGCTACCCGGCGACTGTCCCTTGACCGCGGTTCGTCTCCCCGTAGGACGACGTACCGCTACGCACCGACATAGTCGATGTACGCGTGTAGCCGGTGCCAAAATGTTGTTTTGAAAAGCTGTATTCCGACAGTAGGAGTTCGGAGAAAGTCAACCCCGGGGACCGAATCGAGAAAAAATTAATATCCCCCTTCAACCTGTAAATTCCCTGGATTTGTCCCCGACAGTCGGTCATCGATTCTGTGACTCCCGTCGGATATCATAGTGTAAAATATCACAGGATTAAGAGCGATAAGAATTTAGTGAATCAACATGTGGTTGAGTTCAACCTCGGGAATGTCCGATTTACGGGGACACGGGAGGGAAAATGATTACGAAAATCAACTGGTGGTTGCGTACAATCTAGGGAATGACCGATTCTCGGGGGACGTCGTTCGGGAACCTCGGATCGTGGGGTTCAACCTCGGGAATGACCGACTGACGGTGACAATATCTTGGGGAAAAGGAGGATGGAACGATGCACGGTGAAATCCAAAGTGTCCGGAAGGTTTGCGGACCGAGTCCCCGGTACTCACGTCCGAAGTCGAATTCACTTTCAACTATTTCCTACCACTATATCTCGTGTAATATTCGTCCTAGCTCTATTCCACCTCTATCCATTCACGTTTCTCTTTCAATGCACTATCCGGTGTTAAAGTTTGAAAGCCGTCGGTTGAAAGCTCGCAAAGTTGACTTCCGAAAAATATCGAAAATCTCACGGGGACACGGTCGGGGAATTTCAGGATTGAAGCTTTTAAACGTATTCTATGCAGGCGCCGTCTCCGGGGTTGACGTCGGGTGGTCCTCGTCCGCCGGAATCCGTCTTCAGATATCCGGTTATCGATTGTCGAGAAAAAATATCACGGACCGCGGTGACGACTCCCAGCTACCCGGCGACTGTCCCTTGATCGCGGGTCGTCTCCCCGTAGGCCGTTTCGGCGTTCGAGAAAAAATGAAGCCTGACTTCAATCCTGCGAATTCCCAGAATTTGTCCTCGTGAGTTAGACATCGATTTTTCTGAAAAATTTTCTAAGTCCAGACCTCGGATGACCGCGATGTCAGACAGCCCACGATTGACCACTGCTGCGGCGGCTTTAGCGACCGAAAATAATGTTACGAGACAATAGGTGGATTTCAATCCAGCGATTTCCTCGTTGTTGATACCATCGGAAAGTGATAGCTTGGGGAATCACGCGGCACTGAGTTCAATACTGGAAATCACGAGGCAAAAAAATATTTCCCGTATTGGCCGGCACTGGGATAGACTTGCGAATGGCTCCCTCAAGGGTTCACCTGGCCCCGTCAGAGTGTGGATCGTGATGTAGTTTTTGAGAGTTTGCTATTTATTTAATGTGGATTGAGCGTCGGGAATTTCAGGTTGTAGTTCGGATTGGCATTGCGAACTTAGGGTAGAAAGACGGTTAACACGAAGTTCAATCTGAGAGAGTTTTGAAAAAAAATGACCGAACCACTAGGACAATTGTCCTCACTGACGGGGACAAGTTCAACCTCAAACATTGCAGTCTGATCGACCATATCAATATGTTGCTGCCGGCGTATGGCCTCTTGTGTGCCCGGCAACCTATAGAAAACGTCGGCTACCACATCTGAGTGCTGCAAGGACTTTGCTATGTTTTTGCTCGTTTCGGGTGCGTGGCCCATAGACTCGGTCTCAACCATTTTCCTAAACGTGCAGGCCGACAACTTGCATTTATAAATTTCGTTTATCTCGTCGTATAGCTTGACGACCCGTTGACACCTGTTAGTGATGAAGAACTCACAAGCCCGTGTCATGACGCGGTTTCGTAGAGCGTAGTACCTGCAAAAATTTCACTTTTAGATGAGCAACTCTGAGTATAGATGAAGCGTACTACTCACCGGTGCATGTATTCCGCCATGTTCTCGTTTAAAACGATGGAGGCCGGTTGCTTGTCACCTGTTTTGTGTTTGGCCACGGTCAGAACTGTGTTGCCACAGTCCGTTCTCCTGGCCTCCCACTCCTCAGTAGTCAGATTCGCTGCGACACCACTCCTGTGTTTTGACCTCCACAGTACAAGCAACATCAATCCACATGTCACCTTCCGCCAAAGTCCGCTGTTCTGTAAATTCAAATGTTGGAATTAGATAAGGTGTCGTGTCCGGTAAGGACAAAAAATACTTACATGTTTCTGGAGAGGTGACGAAGTTTTATCAGATGAGAGTTTGATGGTGCCTTCTTCTCCGTAGTACTCCTCCAGCTGAAGGAAATAGTCCGGCAGGGTGTTCAGAAGTTCGTCCATGACACCGTGGACTTGGGAATAGTCAGGAACGCTTACTGCCTCCGCAGTCTTTCTTTTAAACAGCTCGCCGGGTTGAAGCTTCAGTTTTCGGGCATACAGTAGTTTAAGCTTTTGATGCAGGAGCTTCATAGAGTTCACAACCTGTACGCTTGGTCCACCGTCGAATGATCTCGGGAACGTTGTGTCTTCCAAACAATAGGTGTTTAACGCCGAGATGACAAGTTCTTTAGATAATTAACTGAAGTGGCGATCGTTTGGCCCAACTTTTCACGCCTGTGAAAGTACAGAATAATATTGTTATAGTTGAGATAAATGTTAGCTTAAATTGCCGGAACTTACTCTTCCAAGAACTTTATATACGGTCTTCGGTACAACATAACAGGTCTGACCAATGGCCAGGAGGAGACCCACGTTCAGTCAGCCACGTGGATACGTAAAACAATATTCGTGACACATTTGCAACATAATTGTTCACGGCATTCGTATTTCGTCCGTGGGATATCTCGAGGTTCTTTGTGTGTAGTGAAATCAAAGGGTGGGTTCTAGGCAGTTGCTCCTGGAACCCATGGTCCACCATCTGCTTCCTTAATTGTTTGCTGGTTAACAAATCAGAATTAATATATCGTCAATGGATATTAAATTTATTGGGTAAATCAACTTACGGTGTACTTTCTTTCGCTACTATATTTTCTTCCACCTGTGATGGCTGTAAATCATCGGACTGCATAACGCGAGGGGTTGTGGCTGGTATCTGTGACGACGGCTCCTCCTCTATAATATAATCAGCAAACGGGTTAGGTATGGTAGGGCTACCCGGGAGGTCCCACGAATCGCCGTATACTTTGAGCCTTCCCATGACGCATAGTCTAAAATGTTGAAATGGAACACATGGTTAAATACAAATATTTTCAGATTCAATATTTATATATATAATTACTTGAAAGCGATTTGCCTATAAGATCTGTCATCCCAATAAGGACCCAACTGTTGTTTAATTACTGACATTGGCACCAACGACACGGATCTCCTGGACTCCGAGCCAAATATTTTTCCCATGCAATTCAGGCTCGTTTGGACCGGTCGTCGGAGATGTTTCGAGTGTTTAATACCAATGTGCCGAGTCATTTTGTTATCGTCGGTGGTGTAACTGCAGAATGGACAGTACTTTATCAGCTGCGAAAAACGATACCATAAGTTTATAGCTAGGAGGTAATGTATGATGTTGTGCAAAAGTTACTTACGCGTTGTGTTATCTGGCTGTTGACTTTTTCAGAAACATTCAGCCGGGTCTTTCTGATTATCAACGGGCTCGGTGCTGTGGAAAAATATCGATATTAATTAAACAAAACACCACACACCTGATTTCAATAACACATCGGACGACCGACGACCCAGTCGGCGACGGTGACCGTAAATCGGCGTACGGTGGTGACGGTGTCTTCACTCTAGACGTACCTGGTACTAACTTCCAATTTTCCAATTCTGAAACGTTATGGTTAAATAAAAATCGTAAACTCGTTAGGTGAGTAAAAACGGTACATACCCTGAGGATCTTCTTCAAAGTCGTAGACATCATGAGATGACTTCAATATAACGTCAGATTTTTGGGGCTGCTTAGTGGCTGTAAATTAATACGTTATTATAAAATGTATAAAAAATGTAATGAAGATAACACTTACGGTTCACCATTAGTGCTTCCCCGCCATCCACCATCATAGGTGTGAATGATAATTCTTGATTCACGTCATCAATCGAAAACCGTTGATGAGTAGGCACTTTGGTCAGGATGGAAATCACTTCCTCAACCTCGGGCTCCTCGGGCTCCTCAGACTCCTCGGGCTCCTCGGGCTCCTCGGGCTCCTCAACATCAACATCGGTATCCATCGGTTTTTCAACTGTAAAATATTTCATTACCTTATTGCATAAGGCCAAAAATTAGAATTAAATGCTATTATACCCATAGCTGCCCTTTTTTGATAATAGGCCGAGCGCTGGTGGACCTCCACCAACCGCTTGACATATACCGGCTTGGATTTGCGGCCTTTGAACACAACTAAAAAAATGTTATGAAAAATAAATAATAAATAAAAAATAAATAAAATAAATAAAAATATAATTAAATAAATAAAAAAAGTTTATGAATGAAAGAATTATTTATTTTTAAATAATTTGATGATATTACCTTTTTTCCCAAGAATTCGGTCCGTCGCCTCTGGCACCGAAGTATCCAAAACCACATTTTCGTTTTTCTTTGACGACGGTGGTGGTTGAGACCCTAACATTTTAACAAAAATAATTCAATAATTTATACGGAAGAAAAAAAAATAACTGTTACCTTTTTCCTCTGAAAAAAAAATAACTGTTACCTTTTTCCTCTGGCACCAAAGTCTCCGAAACGACATTTTTGTTATTCATGGACAACGGTGGTGGAAGAGACGCTAACATTTTAACAAAAATAATTCAATAATTTATACGGAAGAAAAAAAAATAACTGTTACCTTTTATTCTATCATAATTGGTGAGTGCCTTTTTTATGGTTGTTCTCGGCACTTTGCACTCTCTTGAAGCTAAGTTCACCTTGTACCCATGTATTCGTACAAGATCTATCGCCATGGAAAGAGCATGGTTGTCTTGCATTTTTACGTACCCTCTAGCTGCCTATAAATTTATGGAAACACAAGTATAAACCCGTGTATTGCAAAAGAGACAAAAACTTACTTTTTTCGGGACAATTTTTAATTTACGGACGAGCTCTCGAAGTGTCGTCTCCGGTACTCCATGGTTTCTCGCGGCCTGACCGATGGAGTGAGTACCGTTCGAAATAGAATTAAGTGCATCGGTAACATTGGCTTTGTTCATGATCTATAATGCCAAGTAAAAACATACGCTAAATTGTGGGAACAAGAAAAAGAACGCGGAAACAAAGTGCCAGAGAGCGCAAACCCATATATATAAACAGAGGCTGGGATTGAAATTTCTCACCGGGGAGACGGGCAACGATCAAGGGGCATTAAATTATTGCGATGTGCAAGGGAGAGATGTTCGGTAACGAAAAATTATATTTGACAAATTATAGGGACAGTGTACTCGTATATACCGCGACACTAGCGCCGCGACGGCGGGTCGGGTTGCAAAATTTTCGAATATTGATCGAAATCAACTCCGAGACACTAGCGCTACGACGGCGGGTCGGGTAGCAAAATTTTCGAAATTCGTTCGCGATACTAGCGCTGCGATCGACGACGGCGGGTCATGTAGCAAAATTTTCGAATATCGATTGAGAATACCCAACGTTTGGAAAATATAATTTAAAAAAAATTTAATAAATTGGCACCGGATACACGCGCCCGCGAGCGCTTAAGAAAAAAAAAATCGTGAATTTCTCCTCTGGTGGCCAATGGAAAAAACATTTTCGAAATTCGTTCGCGGCACTAGCGCTTCAACGACGACGGCGGTTCGGGTAGCAAAATTTTCGAATATCGATTGAGAACACCCAACGTTTGGAAAATATAATTTAAAAAAAATATAATAAATTGGCACCGGATACACGCGCCCGCGAGCGCTTAAGAAAAAAAAAATTCGTGAAATTAAGAAATTTGAGAAATATAAAATGGAATGGCCCTTCGGTGGCACAAGACCCAGCCGCGTGAACCCATCAGGTCACTTGCCTCGTGGTCTGGTACACTAATCGCATTGATTTAATCCACGCTATCACGGATACCCCGTTCAGAGTAATCCGCTACATGCGAGCGATCAGCGTTGAAAGGAAAAAAAACTATTCAATTATAGTTTAAGAGACAGTTAAATTTACTTACAGTTAAATTATAAGAGTCTAAAAAAAAAACTTAACCAACTAATAAAAGCAGTAAAAAAATTGCAATCACGCTGAGTGAAGACTTCCGACCGAAACAAGCCAACTTTCGTCGTACAGATTTCATCCACGCGATCACAGATACCTCATTATTCACTGTCGGTAGTTACTAAAGTTTTTTTTTTTTTTTACTATCGGAAAACTCGACGAACAGTCTGACAAACGGTACAATGCCGGAATTACTCCAACTATTGCCCCATGGAATGCGACGAGTGAGACGGCCGATGCAATGCCGGAATACTCCAACTATTACACCATTGGTCGCCTCACAGACAGTTCGCCGAGTTCGCCCAAACAATTTTAAAATAAAAATGTCGACAATATAATGAGATATCCACTACATGCGAACGACGTACTCGTTGGAGTCCTTCAGTCGGCACGGAAAAATACTCACGCAAAGAGACGATGTTTGTTCAAGACAAAACGAAACAAAAAAAACGGAACTGAAAAAATTAAAAAAACGACGAAGACGACGAAAAACACGACGAACACTTCGGAGAACAAATTGGAAAATGACGCCGATGCGCCGCAGCGCACCCATATTTATAGACAGAGGCCACGCCACTAGCGCTGCGACACTAGCGCTGAACACTACGGATGTTTCGTAACGTTTCGTAACGTTTCGTAACGTTTCGTATCGGAGATGCGTAACGTTTCGTAACGTTTTGTAACGTTTCGTATCGGAGATGCGTAACGTTTCGTAACGTTTCGTAACGGAGAAGCGCAACGTTTCGTATCGATGTTGCGTAACGTTTCGTAACGGAGAAGCGCAACGTTTCGTATCGATGTTGCGTAACGTTTCGTAACGGAGAAGCGCAACGTTTCGTATCGATGTTGCGTAACGTTTCGTAACGTTCCGTAACGTTTTGTAACGGAGAAGCGCAACGTTTCGTATCGATGTTGCGTAATGTTTCGTATCGGAGAACACTAGCGCTGCGACGGCGGGTCGGGTAGCAAAATTTTCGAATATTGATCGAAATCAACTCCGAGACACTAGCGCTATTGAAATTGTCCCCGTCATGAGGTCTCATTGTAAGGAAAAAAAAATTTCGAAGATCGACTCACGGGGACAATATTCGGGAATTTCGTGGGTTGAAGCGGAGTATTCATTTTTTTTCAACGAGGTCTTCGGGATTGACATTGTCCCTCTTATGCGGTCTCTGAATGAAAATTTCGAGACATTAGCAGGCCGTTGGTGAAAATATCAAAATTCGAAGACCGACTCACGGAGACAATATTCGGGAATTTCGTGGGTTGAAGCGGGGTATTCATTTTTTTTCCACGCCGTCTTCGGGGTTGACATTGTCCCTCACTTGAGGTCGCAATACGAAAAAATCGAGATTGACGTTCGATAAAAATATAAAAATTCGAAGACCGCCTCACGGAGACAATATTTGGGAATTACCTTCCTAGATATGACATTTCGTATCGATGTTGCGTAACGTTTCGTATCGGAGATGCGTAACGTTTCGTACCGTTTCGTAACGTTCCGTAACGGAGAAGCGCAACGTTTCGTATCGATGTTGCGTAACGTTTCGTATCGGAGTAAATGAACAGAGGTGGAATAGAGCTAGGACGAATATTAAACGAGATATAGTGGTAGGAAATAGTTGAAAGTGAATTCGACTTCGGACGTGAGTACCGGGGAGTTGGTCCGCACACCACCCGGACACTTTGGATTTCACCGTGCATCGTTCCATCCTCATTTTCCCCAAGATATTGTCCCCGTCAGTGAGTCTGTCACCGACGTTCCCCAGATTGAAGTCCACCTGTCGATTCAAAAAAATTCTTATCGTGAGCCTGCAACGGTGTCGTTGGTTTCCCCCGTGACGATGTCCCCGTAAGTAAGTCATCATTCGAAATTCCCGGCATTGATGTCAACCTGTTGATTCAAAACACTTCTTATCGGCCAGTAGGAGACAGTAGCCTATGAATATTTTTTCATGACCCACTGTCGGGGACAATTTTGGGGAATTCACAGATTGAAGGGATATATTTATTTTTTCACCACGCCGTCATCGGGGTTGACATTGTCCCTCTCATGAGGTCTTTGAAGAAAAATTTCGAGACGGCTGCAGGCCGTCGATGAAAATACAAAAATTCGAAGACCAACTCACGGGGACAAAATTAGGGAATTTCTTGGATAGAAGCGGGGTATAAATTTTTTTTTGACGCCATCTTCGGGGTTGACATTGTCCCTCTCATGAGGTCTCTGAAGAAAAATTTCGAGACGGCTGCAGGCCGTCGATGAAAATACAAAAATTCGAAGACCTACTCACGGGGAGAAAATTTGGGAATTCGAGGATGTGTCCCGAAGATAATTTATTTCGCCGCGTGGGGGTTCGGCAATTGAAACCGGTAGACCACCGTCAATCCCGAATTCTCTCGAAAAAATATGACAACTCGGCGCGTTGCGGTACCCCTCCGTCAATCCCAAATTCTCTCGAAAAAATATTCAAGTCCGCGCGTCATGACCGTCTCACCTGGGGAAAAGTCAAAAGACTCATTGTTCAACCGGTTCGACAATCTGACTTTCCCCGTGTCCATGTCGGGTCCCTTGACTTTCGACACTTTCCCGGTATTGACAAACTGGTTGGGAAAACTTGACTTGGCTCTCTCGCAAGGACAATTGTCCTCGGCCCGTGAAAAAGTCTTATGGAATTACTGCTTAACTAATGCAGATTGAAGTACGCGGTTTCCTGGGTTGGATTAAGTGAACATCAAAGTTCTTTCCCTAGAAAGTCAAAATCCGCAAAATTCAATTTCGGGAATTTACGATTGACATTGTCCTTATGAAATGGACTTCGAGACCGACACACGAGGACAATTGGCTCCCTCATGGGGATTAGGACAACCTCAACAGGTTGACTGAAAATTCAATTCCCCGTCAAGACACTGAGTCGATTGGCTCACTCACGGGCCGAGAATATCCGTGTATTTTTGCGTCTGTGTTAGTGAGGCTCGTGAAGAGGACACGTTTTGGAACCGTGATGAGGGCAAATGGCCCATATTTTTTTTTCAATTCGGGGACGGAATTTGACGGGGACACAGGATCTCACGGGGACACGGACTTTGAATATTTGTTTTTAGCAGACTCCGTGACGGGGACACGGACTTTGAATATTTTTTTTTTAGCAGACTCCGTGACGGGGACACGGACTTTGAATATTTTTTTTTTAGCAGACTCCGTGACGGGGACACGGACTTGCGTCTAACCTGCTACCGTGGTGTACCGTTTTGTCCCCGTTTTGTCCCCGAGGACATGGAATTTCACGGGGACACAAGATTTTACTGGGAAATGGAATTTTACGGGGACACGGGTTATTTTTCGCCACGTTCGTCTGGGTTGACCATGTGCCAGTCAGTAGGTTATCGGCCGAGAATTCCAAGCCCATGGCTGAACGTCGGAGGAAATCGTCAAAGTTGATGACCGAATGTTGGGGACAGATTTTGGGAATTAACAGATTGACGGGAGAAATGTAATTTAATTTAATTCTCCAAATTTTCCGACATTGTCCCCGTGAGTTGGTCTTTTCCCATGACCGACTCGCGGGGACAATGTCGGGGAATTCGGAGATTGAAGGATGGTGTTCGTTTTTTCTCGACGCTGTCTTCAGGATTGTCTTTCCCCAGTGACGTTGCACCCGTCAGTGATCCATCGTTCGAAACTCTCGTGATCGAGGTGCACTATCGTTGAAAACGTCAAATTCGATGACCGACTGACGGGGCGAAATTTGGGGAATTCGCTGGTGGAAGGGGGATATTCGTTTTTTTTCGACGCCGTCTCCGGGGTTGACTTACCACGGAAAGCCAACGTCGGAAAACATAATTTAAGAAAATACTATTTGGCACCGGATACACGCGCCCGCGACCGCGTAAAACGCCAAGTCGGTGCGTAGCGGCACGGCAACTCACAGACCGACGATCGACGACCGGTAAGGGGCAGTTGACGGACGGCCGTGGCTTCTCCAGATTTCGTGTACGGCTAATAACCTGGTGACGGAATCTGGCGTACGGGGACTGCCCGAAGTCAACCCCGAAGGCCGCGCCTGCAAAAAGTTAGTTTAAAAGCTTTAATCCCGAAATTCCCGAACCGTGTCCCCGTGAGATTTTCGATCGTTTTCGGAAGCCAACTTTGCGAGATTTCACCCGACGGCTTTCAAACATTAACACTAGATAGTTTATTGAAAAATAAACGTGAATGTACAGAGGTGGAATAGAGCTAGGACGGATATTAAACGAGATATCTAGGTTGCAAAAAGTTCGGAGACGATCGATCGACTGTGGAGAGGACCGAGGCCTCGGTCCGCCGGGCACCTGGACATTTCTAATATCGCCGTGCATCGTTCCATCCTCACCTTCTCCACGAAGTTGTCCCCGTCAGTGAGTCATTCCCGAGATTGCGTTCCACCTGTTGATGCAAAGACCTCTTATCGCGATTCCCCCCATGACGTTGCACCCGTCAGTGAGTCTTTCCCTAGATGGAGTTCCACCTGTTGATTCAAAAACATCTTATCGTTATTTCCCCTGTGACGTTGACCTTATCAGTGAGGCATTCCCGAGATTGAAGTCCACCTGTTGATTCAAAAAAATTCTTATCGCTCGACGGCGACCGATCACGGTGCGGCCGCCCGGGCAGCCGGCCGTCGTTTACGGAATTGAAAATTCGATGACCGTCTCACGGGGACAAGTTCGGGGAATTCGAGGATTGAAGGCGGGTATTGATTTTTTCTCGATTCGGTCACCGGGGTTGACTTTCCCTTGGCTCCCACTATTGTAAAACAGAATATGAAAATGCGATCCTTGGACTTGGACTTCAACTTCAACAGTCGGAACACAAATTAAAATACAATCTCCATATTCTTAGGCAGATAAAAATTCACAAAAATAAGTCTACTAAATTATATTATTATTATTATTATCGTTTACCGACGTCAGATGCTGCTCCGGTACGTGAAAAGGGGTCGACCCGGGGTGTATAGTTCACCACGCCGGTGATTATTTTCGGAAGTTCGTCGTTCAAACGGCGGACACCGGAGGACGCCTCATCTTTTCTATACCGCACTGCCATACCGCAACTTTTTCGCCTCCAAATTTCAAACGAACCTATTGTTTCAGTGTCAGCCGCAATACTAGCTGAATTTCCACACTACCCGAGGGGTATCAGCTACAGCGCGTTTTTTTTTAAGTGGTTTCCCCAAGAGGCCTAATCCACTGACGTTCCCACGTCATCAGTTTTTTTAAAGTGGTTGACTCCACTGACGTTCCCACGTCATCAGTTTTTTTAAAGTGGTTGACTCCACTGACGTTCCCACGTCGTTCAGTCTGCCATTTGGGACATTATGCGACGACACATTTTGTCCTGATCCTGGTTGAGGAAATAATGCAGCTTCCTCTGCTTGGCCATGTCGATAATCGCGTGTCTACTTATGTTCCGCTTGTTATAGTCAGCACTTAATTGGCCGACAAGGATCGCCGCTCTATCCTCCAATACCGCATCGTTAAACCACGCCTTGACGCGTTGGACCAGCGCGTCGGTAACGGTGGCTGTCGGATGCGCCGCATACGCATCGGAGTCCAATAGCCTTTCCCGTACGCCAGCGTCGGTCCAACTTGCGTACGGCTCAATGGGAAATAGAATGTCAAACCTGAAAAACAAAATTCGTATAGCAACGTCGTTGTAAGGTTTTGGGGAATGTGTCGCAAGTCACGAATTTACTTACTCTTTTGACACGACGTCTTCGAAGACAGCGGTCTCGTCGACGACGTCGATGTGTCGCTGCCTCCGAATCGCCTCCCTCGCATCTGGTACCTGGTAATAACGTAAGGCCGTATCTTCGGAGTGTTGGAGAGCCTTCGCCACACCACTGCAGGTCACTCTGTCGTGGCCCCTGCTCTGGCTCTCCACCATCCTTCTGAAAATATTCGCCGAGAGTTTTGTGTGGTATATCTTATTTAGTTCGTCGTAAATTTTTATCAACCGTTGGCCCTTGTTAGTTACGAAAAACTCCTTTAATGTTGTCCTGACGCGTTGACGCAGTTTATAGTACCTGCGAACACATCAAAACAATCGCGGTTAGGTTCGGTTATTAGGGCGATGGGAAGCGTTTCACGATCTATTACCTATCCATTAGGCTGGCGATTTCGTCTCCGATTACAATGAGAGCGGGCTCCCGGTCGCCAGTTTTGTGGGTGGATACGGTTATAATTGTTTTACTGTTTTCTAATTTCTTCGCGGCCCACTCGCCCAACAGCATATTTGACACCACGCCACTCCGGTGCTTGGACGTCCATAGCACCAGAACGGCAAGGCCACAAGTGACTTTACGCCACCATTTGCTGACCTACAACAAAAAAATACAAGGGTTACTTGTTCGTACAGTTTGTGAGCGGTTTAATTCGTGGCCCGTCTGGACTGGCGACGAAGCGTGACTCACCATTCTCTGTCTTGCCGACGCCCCAGCTTCAGAGGAGACATCTACGTCCAGATCAAGGCCGAAGTTCTCCTCCAGTTGATCGAGGTCTGCGGGGACGTTCGCCTCAACCGACTTGATCACTGTCTGTACGTCAGCGTACCCGGGCAGTGTGTCGGCCTCACACGTTTTCCGACTGAACAGCTCTTGAGGCTGTTTTTTATTTTTATTTTTGTACACCAAGTTTAGCTTGGATTTTAATAATTTCATTTCGTTTAATACTGTTGGACATGGCATTAAATCAAACGTCTTCGGGAAAGACCGATCCTCAATGGAGTATTGATTTATCGCCATGTCGAAGAGTGAGCAAAGGTTTTTCAAATAATTAATCGACGTAGCTATTGTTTGGCCGAGTTTCTCTCTCCTGCGAAGAAATAAAAAACGAAGAAATAAAAAAAAAAACAAAATCAAACAAACGACGTGGTTGCGACGCCTCGCACTCACTTCTCCAAGTAGTCGACGTACGGGTCGACCGGGCACTTGAGCAGATCCGACCAGTGGCCAGGTGGCGTTTTCCGGTCACGGAGCCACGCCGACACGTGGTAAAGCACCCTGGCCACGTTTGCCTGGTAATTGCGGAATCGGCACCGTGGCTCAAAATAAGGCTTCTTCTATGAAGTTTTAACAGCGGGTGATCGGTGGGCAACTGCTGTTGCAGTCCCTCTTCGGTTAGCCCTTTTCGAATTTTTTTCACGGATCTGCGAACAAAAGGAATGAATAATGAAATCGGATGACCGTCGGGCAATCGCCGGGTGGACGCGCCGGTTGGTCTGGAAGATTATACTCACGGGGAATCGTTTCTCGGAGTAGCTAGGGTTGCTGGGGTTGGTGGAGTAGAAACGTCTGAAATGGCGGTGCTGACGTTCAGGTTAACCCTGTCACTGACGGGAACTTCTTGCGGGGCCGCCTAAATGAATTGAGAAAAGGGGCTTTCAATGTATGGCGCATCTGGCAGGTTCCATTGTTCACCATACACCTTCATACGCCCCATCAGGCATAACCTAGAATTTCAAAACATCATGTTAGGTTAGGTAAGTTACGGAGCGTCAACGCGACGACGAAAAGCGGTACTTACTGGAACGCAACTTTTCGGTATGCCGTATCGTCCCAATACGGGCCCAATTTTTCCTTTACCGCGCACATCGGTACCAGTGACACGGACCGTCGAGACTCGTTGCCCAAGATCTGGCCAATTGATTTAAGGCTTGCCGCGACTGGTCGTTTGATCTGGCCCCTGTGTTTAATACCGATGTGCCGCGTCAATTTATTGTCCTCTGTCTTGTAGGGACACAGGGGACAGTATTTCGTCAACTGAAACACATACGATAAACGAAATAAAAAATATACATCGTTAATTTTCGCACTCATCGGTGTGTAAACGCAATAAAAGAATAAATTAACTGTTACCTTTTTTGGCCAAACTATCGGACCCCGAAACGGACGTTTCCGCAACAACAATCGGGTTGCTCCGGGCCGATGGTGGTGGAAGAGACTCTAAAATTTTAACAAAAATATGTAACTCAATAATATTTATACAATAGAAAAAAATAATTACTATTCACCTTTGATATTATTGTAGTTCTTCAGTGCCTTCTTCAGTGTAGTACGGGGAACTTTCGTTTCCCGGGACGCACCGTTCACCGTATACCCATACTCTTTTACCAAAACAACGGCCCTGGATAGATTGGCATTGTCCTTCATCCTTACATAGCCTCTAGATGCCTATATATTTATAGAAACACAAGTATAAAATTGTTTTTTGCAAAAGAGACAATAACTTACTATCTTAGGTACAATCTTCAACTTCCGGACCAGTTCTCGAAGTGTAGTTTCAGGAACTCCGTGTTCTCTTGCGGCCTGACCAATTGACGAGGACCCTTGGGTAATGGCGTTAAGCGCATTTGTCACGTTGGCTTTGAACATGTTCTATAATGCCAAGTAAAAACATACGATAACTTGTGGGAACTAGAAAAATAACTAGGAAACAAAGAGCCAGGGAGCTCTGTGACAACGGCAGTTCGGGCAACAACATTTTCGTCGTCCGGGATTGAAATTTCTCACCGCGGAAACGGGCAACGATCAAGGGCAGTCGCACATTAAATTATTAATATAGTTATTTTAATTTAAATTAATTGTTATTAAATTATATGTTGGGTAACGAAAAATAATATTTGTCCAAAGATAGGGACACTAATGAAAGCGGCCCATTATACGCTTTGAGAAACAACTTAAAAAACGCTTAAAAAAAAAATTTAAAAATGCTATATAAGCGCACCCATATTTATAGACGCTGCGACACTAGCGCTGAACACTACGGATGTTTCGTATCGGAGATGCGTAACGTTTCGTAACGTTTCGTATCGGAGAAGCGGAACGTTTCGCATCGCTATTACGTAAAATGGCTGTGACTGCAATACTACGTACGGCGTAAAAAAAAAATTTTAGCATTCTTCCTAGATATGACATTTCGTATCGATGTTGCGTAACGTTTCGTATCGGAGACAATATAGCAAAATTTTCGAATATTGATAGAGAACTCTCACCATTTGGAAAATATAATTTAAAAAAAAAAAAATAAGAAAATATTCGTGAGAGTGCCCTCTGGTAGCAGGTCGAAAAATTACTGCCGGGGAGATTTTCTAAGTTCAAGTGAGAGTAGCCGGGTACTCGCAAGAGGCGACAGGGCAACGGTCAAGGAAAAGTTCTCGGGTCCCTAGGTGTCTACGATAATAACTAATAGAAGCAGTTCCGACTTCCCCAAAAAACTAAAATTATACAAACTGATAATCACCAACACGGTAAAGCCTTACAACGGTTATAATCGAAAACCATATACGGGCATCATGCAGCAAACGCTATTTCATGTGACGGGTGAAAAACTTCGAAGAATAATCCTCAATAACTGGTAAATGAAAAATTTTATGCAAACAACTTATGTAGATAGTTATGGCGATTAATTTTATGTCTTATGACTTTCGACCTATCTCTCACAAATTTCCCGGAAAATAGTTCGTAAACGTGAATTTTCATTTTTCGAAATTTTCAATTTACATTCACGTTTCATCGGTCACCTGGGGTTCCAACGACAATTTGTCACAGAAGTTAAAATGTTCTATATGTGATTTTACACCAGAATCAGTTTGTCATTTTTGCAATTACTCGTTATTTCAAATTTTCAGTTTTCAAAACTGAATACAAAAGTGGAATGCCCGAGCGTAAACCTTTAACGCGCGCCCCGTATCGGTACGCGCTAATACAGGCAGCAGAATATTCGCTTAAAAAAAAAAGCTCATATAGCTATATAGAAGAATTGGGGTGCTGAACAATAATAAAACGCTTAAAAAACCGAATAAAAAAGTGAAACTCCCGAGCGTAAACGTTTGACGCGCACCTGGCATAAATACGCACTAATGAAAGCGGCTCTTTATACGCTTAAAAAACAACTGAAAAAACGCTAAAAAAAAAATTTAAAAAAAACTATAAGTACTGTTGATAAAGAAGTGCTGCACAATTATATTAAATTAATAATTATAATTATTGCAACAGGCAACGGTCAATGGGGAGTTTTCGGGTACCTTGGTATCTAATCTAAGTGTCTAAAAAAAAAACTTAACGATCTAATAAAAGCAGTTAAAAAATTGCAATCACGCTGAGTGAAGACTTCCGACCGAAACAAGCAAACTTTCATCGTACAGATTTCATCCACGCGATCACAGATACCTCATTATTCACTGTCAGTGGTTACTTAAGTTTTTTTCGCCTTAAGCTGGGACAAAATTTCTCTCCTAGCCGCGTAAGTCTGCCCGTGTGGGACTTACTACGACGTCGGAAAAAATTTTAAAATAAAAATGTCGACAATTTAATGAGATATCCACTACCTGCGAACGACTTAATCGTTGGAGTCCTTCAGTCGGCACAGAAACATAAATTATACATTTACATAAATTTGAGAAATGCCGTGTACGGAAATATTATATGTCAACTGATAGGGACAGTGTACTCGTATATACCGCGACACTAGCGCTGTGACAACGGCAGTTCGGGCAACAACATTTTCGAAATTCGTTCGCGACACTAGCGCTACAACGACGACGGTGGTTCGGGTAGTAACATTTTCGAACATTGATAGAGAACTCCAAACGTTTGGAAATTATAATTTAAAAAAAATATAAAAAATTGGCACCGGATACACGCGCCCGCTAAAGAAAAAAAAAAAATTCGTGAATATTTCCTCTGGTGGCCGATGGAAAAAACATTTTCGAAATTCGTTCGCGACACTAGCGCTACAACGACGACGGCGGTTCGGGTAGCAACATTTTCGAATATTGATAGAGAACTCCAAACGTTTGGAAAATATAATTTAAAAAAAATATAATAAATTGGCACCGGATACACGCGCCCGCTTAAGAAAAAAAAATTCGTGAATGTGCCCTCTGGTGGCCGATGGAAAAAACGTGTAAAATGAAATTAAAAATTATCGCAACGGGCAGCGGTCGAGGGGGACTTTTCGGGTACCTAAGTTATCTAATATAAGAGTCTAAAAAAAAAACTTAACCAACTAATAAAAGCAGTAAAAAAATTGCATCACGCTGAGTGAAGACTTCCGACCGAAACAAGCCAACTTTCGTCGTACAGATTTCATCCACGCGATCACAGATACCTCATTATTCACTGTCGGTAGTTACTAAAATTTTTTTTTTACTATCGGAAAACTCGACGAACAGTCTGACAAACGGTACAATGCCAGAATTACTCCAACTATTGCCCCATGGAATGCGACGAGTGAGACGGCCGACGCAATGCCGGAATTACTCCAACTATTACACCATTGGTCGCCTCACAAACCGTTCGTCGAGTTCGCCTTAAGCTGTGACAATATTTCTCTCCTAGCCGCGTAAGTCTGCCCGGGTGGGTCTTACTACGACGTCGGAAAAAAATTTGAAAATAAAAATGTCGACAATATAATGAGATATCCGCTACCTGCGAACGACCTACTCGTTGGAGTCCTTCAGTCGGCACGTAATAATACTCACGTAAAATGGATGATCTCGAAGACGACGACAAGAGAACACTTTAAACTCACAGACGCAAATAAAATCGCACTCAAAAACACTTGAAAAGCACTCAAAAACACTACGATGACAAATCGGGAAATGACGCCGCTCCGATGCGGCGCACCCATATTTATAGACAGAGGCCTCGCCACTAGCGCTGCGACACTAGCGCTGAACACTACGGATGTTACGTAATAGCGATACGAAACGTTCCGTATCGGAGATGCGTATCGGAGGTGCGTAACGTTTCGTATCGGTGGTGCGTAACGTTTCGTATCGGTGGTGCGTAACGTTTCGTATCGGTGGTGCGTAACGGTTTCGTATCGGCGGTGCGTAACGTTTCGTAGCGGAAGTGCGTATCGGTGGTACTTATGCAGAACACTTCTGATGTTCCTTAATAGCGATACGAAACGTTAATAGTAGCCGTATGTTTTTCATGTAATTGATCGTCGTAGCCTTGGTCTGCCCGATCTCCTCTCGGCTGTGTACAAAATTAAAAAAAAATAAATAGTTTACGAATCAATCATTTTTTAATCCTCCAACGAGTCCTTACCGTCGAAAGAAGTCGACGTAAAATTCGACATCGGCCGAAACCAGATCCGCCCAATGCTTCGGTGGTAAATTATTGGCGGCCAGTTGTTGGTGCACGTAGCACAACACCCGCGAAACATTGGATACGTAATTTTTTGCTGCTTGCGAATCATTCCCGTGGCTAATTTCCAACGTCTTTGTAAACATTACAATCAATGGATGATTGGGTGGAAGCTGAGTGTTAAGACCTAAAGCTTCCAAAGCCTTGCGCAATTTCCTGAAAATAAAGTTAAAAATATAAATAAGACATTAAGGCTTTAAATTAATAAAAAAAACCTTAATCGAAGGTTTCGACTCGAACTATTTATTAGGCAATACTCACGATTCCGAAGATTGTGCATTGATTTTTGTCATCGTTACGTTTTCCGGGTCGGCTGGTCTGCCTGATGTGCCAGGTATCGAAATGGTTTCACCGGAGGTTTCCGGTATAAGAAGGACTGGCACCGCCGGTGTCGCAGATACATTCATCACCGGTGTATCGGGACCGAAATCGCTATCGGTGAAAAATTCCTCAAATGGGTTTCACGTATCTGTTACATCAGGAAGATTCCAACTTCCGCCATACGTCTTCATCTTTCCCATGGTCGTAAGTCTAAAACGGAAACAACAAATTAACTATGGTGCTAAAAAATATTGATATATTGCACAATTTACTCGTGGGCGATGCTTCTAAAACACCTGTCATCCCAATATGGGCCCAACTTCTTCTCTATCACCCGCAACGGGACAACGGAATAGGACTTGCGGGATTCCGAGGCAATGTGTTGGCATATCTTTCTGATGTTGAGGTCTCGGGGCTTTTTTATCTGCGACCTGTGGCGGTTTGCAAGGTGCCTCCCAAGCTTATGGCCAACAGTCATGAAGTCACACACCGGACAATATTTAACCATCTACGGCATAAAACGTATCATAATAACAATTTCGATTTAGATAAGTAAACACACATACCTGAGTATCGACTTTCAGTGCGTTGCGTTGCGCAACATTTAGTCTCCGTGGTCTTAATCCTTCTTCATCTGAATCCACACCGACATCCATGGGCTCGGTTGACATGCCCAACAGATCTGGCGAAACTTGACCAGACGGTGACTCAAACTCTGAAAAGTGATGAATTAGGTAAAGAATTCTCAATTAGTATGGGTAAATAACTTACCCGGCTCGCTCAAGAAAAACTCATACGGGTCGGTAGTCGGTGGCGGCGATCTCCCTGGTAAAAGAGGTTGCGGTGAAGCTGATGGTAACGATGGTGAAGTCATAGAAGAGGGCGGCAACTCTAATAAATGTGGCGATGGTGTAGGCGACGGCGTAAATATTTCCTCAACGAGTAACGGCCGTGGAGTGGCTGAAATCATAAAATGGCTACAGTCGTAAAAAACAGTTAGAGGGAAATGATTATACTCACGAGGGTGTCCTGGTAGTTCACCAACGCTAACCTCCATGGTATCGGAGTTAACCATAACAAACGTTGGATTTGGAAACTGGTCATTTGATGAATCGTCGAAGTGTATGTGGGCTGAAAAAAAAAACTTTACGTTTATGAAGAATGAATTAGTCATGAATTTTACTTACAATTAAGAACGGTTTCAACAACCATTTCGTCGTCGATATCCTCTACGAAATCAATGATTTCGTCGTTTTCGACATGGATTTCGGTGACTGTAATTAAAAAAGCTTTTCTTATTGTCGTACTGATATTACAAGTTTTAATAATACTCACCATCAGGTTTAGACCACTGTGGTCGACGCGGATAATATGCGGATTTGTTGTGCACCTCCACGGTCTTCTCAACAGTCTTCGCCCTTCCACTCTTTTTCCCGAAAACTAGCACATCTGGGTAACGAACATTTGTTGTATTAAAAATACCAAAAACAGAATATTATTTATTACTTTTAACAACCGTCGCAGGTCCAACATCCTGGCCAACGGGTTCCGCTTTGACGGGTTCTACAACATCCACGTCCTCGTCAATAATGAATGGCACTGCGGCGGTACCCACGTCTGCCGTGTCCTCGTGTAGAACGGGTTCCGCTGCGACGGGTTCAACCTCCACGTCCTCTTCAATAATGAGTGGCACTGCGACGGTACCCACGTCTGCCGTGTCCTCGTGTAGAACGGGTTCCGCTGCGACGGGTTCTTCAACCTCCATGTCCTCGTCAATGAGTGGCACTGCGACGGTACCCACGTCTGCCGTGTCCTCGTGTAGAACGGGTTCCGCTGCGACGGGTTCTTCAACCTCCATGTCATCGTCAATGAGTGACACTGCGACGGTACCCACGTCTGCCGTGTCCTCGTGTAGAACGGTTGGCCTAACGACGGTCTCAATCGGTTGAACAACATCCGGTGGAGGAAGTACATCTACAATATAGAAATACTTAAATAAAGTTAATTGACTATAAGGTTCAATAAAAATTGTCTTTACGCTTAATCTTCTCATAGTTTTTTAATGCCTTTCGTAGGGTCGTTCTTGGAACTTTGGCAATTCTGGATGCAGCATTCACGGGCAACCCCTCATCGTGTACCAACTTAATAGCAGCGGTTAGGTTTGTATTACTAGAAACCTTGGTATAGCCTCTGGACGCCTACATTTAAACGGAAACGTCATAATCAAAACAAGCATGAAACAAAGAAAACTTACGATTCCCGGAGTGATGCAACTACGCTTCAAATACTCGCGTAGGGTTGTCTCTGGTACATTAAACTGCCGAGCGGCTTGACCAGCAGACAATTGACCAGATTTCACAGCATCAAGGGCAAAATTCATTCCCGACATCTAGAAAATTTAGCAACTGTTGGTGAGAAACACTAATTCTAGTACACTGTAAATAATAAAACCTCTAGGCCACCAAAGCCTACATATGATAAGGACAGTAAACATATAAACGCGGCTCATTATACGCTTTGAAAAACAACTTAAAAAACGCTTAAAAAAAGCGAGGGACAGGTGTTCGGTTAGTATCGAAAAATTATATTTGTCAAATGATAGGAACAGTGTAATCGTATATACCGCGACACTAGCGCTGCGATTCGGGTAGCGAAATGTTCGGATATTGCTCGAGAACACCGCTGCTGGCGGACGGGTTGAAATTCCCTGAACTACCAACGTTTGGAAAATATAATTAAAAAAAAAAATTATAATTAAGCACCGGATACACGCGCCTAAGAAAAAAAAAAATTCGTGAATTTGCCCTCTGGTGGCCGATGGAAAAAACTTGTAAAATTAAATTAAAAATTATCGCAACGGCCAACGGTCGATGGGGAGTTTTCGGGTACCTAGATATCTAATCTAAGTGTTTAAAAAAAAACTTAACCAACTAATAAAAGCAGTAAAAAAATTGCAATCACGCTGAGTGAAGACTTCCGACCGAAACAAGCCAACTTTCGTCGTACAGATTTCATCCACGCGATCACAGATACCTCATTATTCACTGTCGGTAGTTACTAAATTTTTTTTTTTTTTAACTATCGGAAAACTCAACGAGCAGTTTGACAAACGGTACAATTACTCCAACTATTGCCCCATGGAATGCGACGAGTGAGACGGCCGATGCAATGCCGGAATACTCCAACTATTACACCATTGGTCGCCTCACCCACCGTTCGCCGAGTTCGCCTCAAGCCGTGAAAATAAACGACGTCGGAAAAAAATTTGAAAATAAAAATGTCGACAATATAATGAGATATCCGCTACCTGCGAACAACGTACTCGTTGGAGTCCTTCAGTCGGCACAGAAAAATACTCACGTAAAACGGTGTTGAAAATCACTGGAAGCGGCAAACTAACTCGTACAACACGAAAAACCCAATAGCAAGACTAACTGGAAAATGACGCCGAAGCGCCGCAGCGCACCCATATTTATAGACAGAGGACACTAGCGCTGCGACACTATCGCTGTACACTACTGATGTTACGTAATAGCGATACGAAACGTTCTGTATCGGAGATGCGTAACGTTTCGTAACGTTTCGTATCAGATATGCGTAACGTTTCGCATCGCTATTACGTAACATGGCTGTGACTGCAACACTATGTACGGCGTAAAAAAAAAAATCACCGTGCGTAGTAGCACTTAAAAACCAATTCGCCGCGTTACGGGCGACACGGGCTTGAAAAAAAAAAACCGTGTCGCCGTACCACTACGCACGGAGATTGTATTTTTATTTTTAAATTTTAGCATTCTTCCTAGCTATGACATTTCTTATCGATGTTGAGTAACGTTTCGTAACGTTTCGTAACAGAGAAGCGCAACGTTTCGCTTCGCTATTACGTAACATGGCTGACTAAAATACTACGTACGGCGTAAAAAAAAAAATTTTAGCATTCTTCCTAGATATGACATTTCGTATCGATATTGCGTAACGTTTCGTATCGGAGATGCGTAACGTTCCGTAACGTTTCGTATCGGAGAAGCGCAACGTTTCGCATCGCTATTACGTAACATGGCTGTGACTGCAATACTACGTACAGCGTAAAAAAAAAATTTTAGCATTCTTCCTAGATATGACATTTCGTATCGATATTGCGTATAGTTTCGTATCGGAGAAGCGCAACGTTTCGCTTCGCTTTTACGTAACATTTCTGTGACTAAAATACTACGTACGGCGTAAAAAAAAAAATTTTAGCATTCTTCCTAGATATGACATTTCGTATCGATATTGCGTAACGTTTCGTAACGTTTCGTATCAGATATGCGTAACGTTTCGTTACGTTGCGTAACGTTTGGTAACGTTTCGTAACGGAGAAGCGCAACGTTTCGCATCGCTATTACGTAACATGGCTGTGACTGCAATACTACGTACAGCGTAAAAAAAAAAATTTTAGCATTCTTCCTAGATATGACATTTCGTATCGATATTGCGTAACGTTTCGTAACGTTTCGTATCGGAGAAGCGCAACGTTTCGCTTCGCTTTTACGTAACATATCTGTGACTAAAATACTACGTACGGCGTAAAAAAAAAAATTTTAGCATTCTTCCTAGATATGACATTTCGTATCGATATTGCGTAACGTTTCGTAACGTTTCGTATCAGATATGCGTAACGTTTCGTTACGTTGCGTAACGTTTGGTAACGTTTCGTAACGGAGAAGCGCAACGTTTCGCTTCGCTATTACGTAACATGGCTGTGACTAAAATACTACGTACGGCGTAAAAAAAAAATTTTAGCATTCTTCCTAGATATGACATTTCGTATCGATGTTGCGTAACGTTTCAACTATTTCCTACCACTATATCTCGTTTAATATTCGTCCTATCTCTATTCCACCTCTGTCCATTCACGTTTCTTTTTCAATTGACTATCTGGTGTTGAAGTTTGAAAGCCGTCGGGCAAAAGCTCGCAAAGTTGACTAGCAAAAACGATCGAAAATCTCACGGGGACACGGTCGGGGAATTTCAGGATTGAAGCTTTTAAATTAATTTTATGCAGTCGCCGTCTCCGGGGTTGACGTCGGGTAGTCCTCGTCCGCCGGATTCCGTTTTCAGATATCCGGTAATCGATTGTTGAGAAATATCACGGACCGCGGTGACGACTCCCAGCTACCCGGCGACTCTCGCTTGACGGCGGGTCGTCACCCCGTAGATGGACATACCGCTACGCACCGACAATTTAATTTAATTTAATTTAATTTAATATTTTGTATTATAAAATGAATCTAAATTTAAATAAAAAACAATTTAATAAAATATTGAAAGCTCATAAAAATAATAAAGATGTATCAATTCTAATTGAAAATAATCAAATTGATAGTGGAAAACATAAATTTATTCTTGAGCCAGAACAAATAAGAAAATTAAAAAACGCTAAAAAAAATAATACCGGATCAAGTTTAGAACTTAAACATGTTCAAATTAAAAAAGGTGGATTTTTACCAATAGCTATTGCTGTGGTTGAAGGTGTAAGTGCTTTGGCTGCAGGTGCTAGTGCACTTTATACTGCAGTAACTGATGCTAAACACAAAAAAAAAATGGAACAAGAAACAATTCGACATAATAAAGAGATGGAAAAAATTAGATCACAAGGTTCTGGCTTGAAAAAAAAAAAAAAAAAATATTGAAAAAAAAATTGAAAAAATGAATAAATTTGAAATAACAACATTTAGAAATAATATTGAAAAATTTGAAGGTATTTATACACGGTTTTGGATTAAAAAAATAATGTAAAAATTGATCCATTGAGTAATATAGATATAAATTATTTTGGAAATAAAATAAAAAATTATAGAGGGTGTTTTATGTTAAATGAATTACCTACAACACCATGGGAAAATGAATGTGGAGTATTTAATTTAAATGATTCTACTCAAAATGGTTCTCATTGGGTTGCATGGAAAAAAATAAACAATACATTTAAAATATATTTTGATCCATTTGGTCATATATAGTTGGTGAGCCACCAAAAGAACTTTTAAAATATTTGGGTAAAGATAATCTTTTTTGTACTGTTTCCCAATTTCAATACTATAATGATCCACCTATATGTGGTCATTTATGTTTAGAATTTATTGAAAATTATAAAAAATTTATTTAAATATTTTATTTTTTTAATAGAAATATTTCTATTAAAAATAACAACTTGTTTAATATATATTTAACAACGAGTAAACGAGGTAAACGAGTAAACGAGTAAACGAGTCGTTGACGAGTTGTTAACGAGTCCTTGTTTTTTTACGTTAACTCGTTGACATTGTTTTTTTACGTTAACGTTGTTTTTTAACAACTCGTTGTTTTTTAACAACTCGTTGTTTTAATAATTCGATGTTAAAAAAAAAAATATATTTACTAATATAAATAATAGAAATGGAAAATATCAAAACACTTTTAAATATGATTGAACAACAATGTAAAATCCTAAGACCTATATTTAATGATAGTGATATTGATATTGATATTGACTGTGAAATTAATATTAAGTTATGGAATAAAATATTGGATAATTGTTGTTACGAAAATGTTGCAAAATATGATTATTACAAAAAACATAATCAATTAAAATCATTTAATTTCCGTTTCATTAGTAATTGTTGTTTCGAAAATATTTTAAGTTTTATTAAAAACAAAAATTATAATGAAATTAAACTTTCAATAAACGAACTACGTAAATTAATACAAGAGGAATTACATGATTCGAATAATAATAATAATAATAATATGCAGCTAGAATGATTATTTTTTAACATCCGGTATTGAATAGCTTATCTACTGACTACTATACAGCGTGAGTATATTATAGTATACAGTGTGATATAATTATACTAGCTTAATACTATTTAAATAGTGTTTGTTATACTATTATACATGCCCGAGTGTCGTGGCGCAGTGGGGAGATGTTAAGCTTTGTATGCATACAGTTGTAGGTTCGATACTGGCTGGGTGGGATTTTATTTGTGGTATTTACAGCTCTACACACGACATGTGGCTTGTTCGATTATATGTTGAGTATAGTCGGATTTAAGACACTAGTGTTACCTGTGATATCATAGATAAGGTGCTCCTCACTGGTCCCTGGAGTCTACATATAACGTCTCCTCATAGTGTTGTGATACGATGAAGGCTACATATCTCAGTAGCCCCCCCTGTTGTACAGATGTCAACAAAAAAATAAAAAATAAAAAAAATAAAAAAATAAAAAATAAAAAAACCGATGTCTGTACAATGAGGGCTACTTTTGCAAATTTTTTCTATTTTTTTTTTCGATTTAAATTATTATTTACACGGTCGTATAATTTGACCTTGTTAAATATTACAAGTCCTATATTTCATTTAATATTTGATATTATCAAGTCGGAACAACACAGATATGTTTTATATACTTATCTACACTACATATTAAAAGTTTACACCCCGCTTCATATTTTTCATTTAAGTATAACTCCGTTGCTATTTATGTTAGAATCTTCATTTTTACATTAAACATTTTTGATTTTAATTCTTTATAAGTCCCCCTCAAAGTATCATAGTGTAAAATCGTTTTTAAAGATTTTTGGATTTTAATAACGCGTGTCCGAATGGGACACGCGTTAAATATTGAACATTTTTTTTAATAGAACAATTCTATTAAAAAAATTAATTATATTATTATTATTCCATGTGAAGACAACATATTTTAATATTTCCTAAATCTTGAATAACAAAAATACCACCGAGACAATTGCATTTATAAGTGCCTTTATAAGTATTTATTAAATCATTAGCTATTTTACAAATTTCAAGCCATGTTGGCGATTCTAGTATTTTAGAAGCATAAGGTTTTCTTTTTACAGAAATATCGCATTCAACAATTAAAATATTTCCTTTAATTGGAATTTCATTAAGATTATATTTTATTATATTTTTATTATTTTCATAATGTTCAAAAGCACAAAATTTCACATTACATTTTTTTATTTTTTTATTTAATATATAGCTTTCTACTTCGTTTTGCATTTCGATTTCTTGTAATTTATTATAATTTTTTATAGTTTCCATTCTTTTATTATAAATATCAATTCCTTTAACTAAGGTATTCAATTTCTTTAAAAATATTTTTTAATACACTATATTACATTTCGATTTTAATTATTAATATCATAAGTATTATGAAAAATATTTTGGGGGTGAAAATGTATTTAATAAGTTTTGCCAAAAATTTTTTTATTATTGCATTTCATAAGTTTTGCGAAAATTTTTTTTAATTATTATTGCATTTCAATTTTCTGATCTTTTTGTACATTGTTTTCTTTGTGATCTTTTACTGATATATTATTATTAAAGGTGCACCTTAAAGGTGCTGCGCCAGGACTGGTATATATATACTACTCCTATGTATAGTTTTCACATTTTTAACATTTTTTCCAGCGTAGATGGTGTTACTTCACAAACCCACCATACTGTTGGACTATCTCTCGGGCCTCTTTCTAAAATGGGAGTGATCCCGAAATCCTTCTCATTTTCCATTAGTTCCGGGTTCTGTGTTTTTATCATGCTTAGGGACAAGTATATAAGTATCCACCTCCGACTTAGCCTTAGGCTAGTGGTCGTTTCTAGCAAAACCGCAGCCCCAGCGAGTCCAACTCCAGAGGCCCTTGATGTTGTTGGGCCTCAGTACCGGGGCACTAACCGGGGCTCCCCAGTCCCGCTGTACGGGTTTATGAGTACCCTGGTTTTTACATCAGGGTACCCCCACCCCCGGTCGGTGGTTTGACTCAGGTAACGTGGGGTCGTCGGGCCCATCCCGGTATACCGAGCCCTGCGCTGATGTAGGATTATGGTCCTTTCGATTGAGCTTGATTCGGTTAGTGGAGCTGGATTCTCCTTTCATCTTCCCTCGTCTTCTCCTTCTGTGTGAGAACTGCTTTTGCGAACTTCCCGAGAGCATCCCAAGCTCTCTTGCTTTTTATGTATGATTCATTTCCGTACGGCCAGGTGTGGCCGAGGCTCTCCATCTCATTCCTCAGTATTCTTCTACTATTGTCTGCTAATGGACAGTCTTCCAGCATGTGCTTCCCG